TTTTTCTGTTGGAGTCTTAGTGTTTTTCTAACTGATTTGTATGAGACCTTTATATAGTAAGGATATTAATATTAATTTTTTAAGATTCTTTACTGAATATCCCTAGATTACGTTCTTGTTTTTCTCATTACTTACCCGTTTGTCCCTTGTCACCCTACTGATAAAGATCCTCTTACCGTTTCCTTTATCTGTTGCTCTCATTCCCATTTCTAAACTTTTTCTGTCTTGGTTCATCTTCTAAAACATACCTAATCATACCTTCTTTATTAATCCTTTATAAACTAATGGGAATAAAGTTGAGATTTCTTACATTTTACCCCCAGATACATTTCAGCTCTCCATTAAAACATTTTTACTGTTGTTTTAAAATAATATAAATTATTGTTTAGTTAAATTTATTTATGTGATTGTTCTAAGTTTGTCTGTTGATGTAAGCTTTTAAAGATTAGGAACTTCACTTATGTAATATACTTTTTATAGCAGTTCACACAGTATAGTATATAGATATATGCTTAAATGTTTTTGAAGATAGAATATAAAATATATTTATAAAGATATTATAAAATGTAGACAGATTTTCTGTATGCATGTTAAAATCTGTTAAGGACTCTGGTAATATCATTTGATATTTTTCTCTTTTTTTCTATCCCTTTGGCAATTAAAAAAAATAAAGGAAGCAATAGAGGCCTTTAATGCTCCTAATAGTAGCAAATTCATCTTTATGCTGAGTACCAGGGCTGGCGGTCTCGGAATTAACTTGGCAAGTGCTGATGTGGTTATACTATATGATTCAGACTGGAATCCACAGGTTGACCTACAAGCTATGGTTAGTAATCTTTCATGATGTCACAAATGTATCATAGCTCAGAATACTATTATTTATACAGCACAAAAGTAATTTACAATAAAAGGGTAACGACTTTGGGGAGGTTTTGTAGAAGTTAGAGTAGATTATCCTGGAAAACAAAGTTGCTGTTGTAATTGCAAAAACAAACAAAAGAAATGAAAACAAATAAACATATCTCAGATCCAACTATAGCATTTATATGTCAATTTTGGCTTTTACCATGAAACACAAATGTCAGTTTCTTTTCCCATTCCTGAAAATTGAAGAGGACACATACATTTGTTTTAATGAAAAGGGTTATAAAATTAATCTCTCACTATTATTAATGAAATTGGGAGAGGTAGGATTTTAACTTTTCTAGTAAAATGATTGGGGAGAGAAGATAAAAAGGTAAGAAGGGAATATATTCCAAGAAAACATTTGCTGCTTACGGACACCATCCAGAAGCTATAAAAATATTTTTTTCAGGGAGCTTTTCCTCTTACCTTTCATCGTGACACTAAAGGTAACTCCTTTGATATTTTGGTGTCATTTATTGAACTAGAGCTGTAGCTTCTCTCAATGTGACTCATATTTTCAAATAAATAAAATTTCAGAAGTAAAAAGATGCAAAATAACTACATATTCAAAATCGTAAGAAGTTATGGAATAATTAACTGTCTTTTTGGAAACAATGAAAAATCATCTGCCAATGAGGTATAACTTAGAAGTCCTCCCTTTTATAATAGAGACTTGAAAAAAGCTGACCATTGGGACATTTTAAAATCAATATGCTGTGGCATAATTATTTTACTACCTTAGCATGGTGTTGAACTACCTGTTTGATGTGACTAAGTAGCAGTAAGCCCCCGGAAGTTACGGTGTTAACTGAACTGGAAAACCTAATGGTGATAGTATTTCAGTTCCTCAAAAGTGTTAGAGTAGAGCTGATCTTTCAGGATTTGTTGGTTTGGGTTTAAAATTTTAAATATGTGTAGGTTATTGCATTCTTTTTTAATGTGCTGTGTTGAAACTTTATTACTGGGCTCTAGTGTTTTTATATTTAGTACAAGGGCTGCTTTGAACCTTGTTTCTTTTGATTTTTTTTTCCTCTACTACTCTCCTCCCTTTACCTATTTGCTCTAGCAGCTTCTGTGTTTTAAAAACACACTCCTTAGATGGTTTTATATTGCCAGAAGTTGCCACCTGTCACCTTTACCAACTGTAAACCATAGGACCAATTCTAAACCACTGTATAGTAAGGCTATTAATACCCCATTAATTTTTATGACACTTTACTACATATCCCTGAATTGCCTCAGGAAGCAGAGATGATGAGATAAAGCAGACTTTTGCCACCGTAACAACCCTTGCTAACTACTTATAAAACTACTTGCTAGTTTGGAAGATGTTTGTATTTAGTGGCTTAAAGTTACTTAGTAACTCAATCCAGAAACTTTCAGCTCCCTGCTGTCCTCTTCTTAAAGGGGCTTTGCCATTTGTCCTTTTGGAAGTTTCCCATTCTTTAATGGTATAATATAATACTTGCAGATTTCTTTGTTCCCAGTGGTCTTTAGGTATTCTTAATATTCATTATCCTCCTTTAAAAAGCGGCAGGTCTAGAGAGATAACTAATTTTATTTTCAGAATTTTACAGCATGTGATGGCTATACTCTAAATTTTATCCAGAATATCCAATATCTTATATTAGGACTCTTTCTACTAGGATCGAGCACATCGTATTGGTCAGAAGAAGCCAGTACGTGTATTCCGTCTCATCACTGACAACACTGTTGAAGAAAGGATTGTAGAGAGAGCTGAGATAAAATTGAGACTTGATTCAATTGTTATACAACAAGGTATTTGTACTTGTAAACTAAATTAGGTCATTTTTGCAAATATACATGCAGTTTTCTTTAAAGGAGGTTACTTTTAATAGAGGTTGACCAAAATTTGAAAACTTAGAGAAAAAAATTGAAACATCACTCTATCCCATAAATATGTATAATTACTATATATGAAGTGAAAATAAAAAAATTTAAAATGCTAATTGAAATGTTCCCCTCCCCCCTAAAAAAAATGTTCCTAAGTAAAACCCTTGCATTTAGTATATGGACTAGTTGAACTTCACTAGCTTACAGTTGAATGCCCATAGCATGCCTTTTGACATATCTGATATTATGTAGCAGATAAAATGTCTAGTTTTTAATTTTTTAAAACATGTATTAGAGGCTGCCTTTCCATACAGAGAAGTTTGATCTGAACAATATACTTTGAACATGAAAAAACAAATGTTTCTGTCCTTCTGGGTTTTAACTGAATTTTGCAGAAGGAATTTCACACTGAAATAGAAAGTATGGTAGAATAAAAACTTGTAGGGTTGTTCATTAAACAAATAACTTCGATGCTCACTAATTTTTTGTTCTTATAGAGCTTTATGTATGGTTCACTGTGGTAGTGTCTGATTAGAACTATTTGCTGTACTTTCTTTGGGACATAATTGATTGAATATATACAATTTTAATTTTTATTATTAGGAAGACTCATTGACCAACAGTCTAACAAGCTGGCAAAAGAGGAAATGTTACAAATGATACGACATGGAGCCACCCATGTTTTTGCTTCTAAAGAAAGTGAACTGACAGATGAAGACATTACAACTGTTCTGGAAAGAGGGGAAAAGAAGGTTGGTAAAATGGCATTTTGTTTTCGTAATAGATTGCTTTAAAATCAACATACTTCGGCATATGTATTATATTTGCATTGTATTGAGCTAGATGTTTCAAATAACTCATACTTTCTCTAACAACTTGTAGATCTATTTCTAGAGGCAGATCAGGGGTTTAAAAATTTTTTTTGGTGAGAAAGACTAAGAACCAGAGTTTAAAATTGAGTGACCTTATATCTCATGCTTATTGGAAATACTGTACTTAAAAGTCTAGTAAATTTTGTGTTTAAGCACATGTATAAGGACTGCATTTTTTATAATCTTTTGTTTTGCACTGGATTAGGAATTGTCTACTGATACATTGTGGTAATTGAAAATATTTTATAAACATTTCATGAAATACTAAAGCATTATTTGTTAAAGCATAAAAATTGTTTAAGAATATTTTGTGTTTAATTCACCTTTTTCACAAATTATGGATAATTTCAAACATAAGCAAAAGTAGACAGAATAGTATAAAAAGCTTCTATGCAAAAAAAAAAAAAAAAAACAGCTTCTATGCAATCATCACCCATTTTTTAACAACCATCAACCAGGCCTGCCCCATTCATGTCCCCAATTCATTTCCGCCTTTATGGATTATTTTGAAGCAAATCTCAGACATACCATTTCAGCTGTAAGTATTTCACTATATATTTCTAAAATATAAGGACTCTTTTTAAAAACACAATCATTATAGCATTATAGCACCTGAAAAAACCCCAATAATTCTTTAATAATATCAAATATCCAGTTAGTATTCAAATTCCTAGTTGTTGTATAATTATACTTTTTAAAAACAGTTTCTTTGTTTTTAAAAAATGAGAATGCACGTAAAGTCTGCACATTGCCGTTGGTTGATATGTCATCTTATCTTCTTAAATCTACAGGTTCCCCCCACATTTATGTATTTTTTTCTCATCATTTATTTGGTAAAGAAACTGGATTGTTTGCCTTTTGAGTTGGCTCACAGTGTGGATTTTGCTGATTCCATCTCCATGGTGTATTTTACCATGTTTACTATAATATCCAGTAAAATGGTTGAATATGCTTTTCAGAAGATTTTTGTTTTTGAGGTTATATCCTGTATTTTGAACAATCTTGCGATAATATATTTCATATCAGTATGCAAAATGTGTTGCTTTAGTCCAACATTGCCTTTATTTTAGCACTAGCTATTTGTTCAATTAAAATTATACAATAGAAATTATGTGGCTACATTTCCAATGATAAAAACATTTTAAAGCCTGAGGATACTTGGGAAGCATGATTTAAGTATTTAAAATACTTGGGGCAAGTTCAATTTACATTCAAGTTTGATGTTAGAATTGCATTCATACCTTGTAAATGAACAGACTGGATATCTCATGGCAAAACCTGACTTTTTAAAAGGGTAGAGAATTCAGAGACTTTTAACAATTCAGTGATAATTTTCTCATTTCAATGTATTCAACTTTAGACTGCAGAGATGAATGAACGCTTACAGAAAATGGGAGAGTCTTCTCTTAGAAATTTTAGAATGGACACTGAACAAAGTTTATACAAGTTTGAAGGAGAAGATTATAGAGAAAAACAGAAGGTAACTTTTTACCCTCAACCATTTAGACACTCACGTTAGCATTTCTCCCCATAATAATTATACAGTATTAATAACACTGGCACTTATCTATTACAGTACTCTGCTATAGAGTGAAATTTGATGTAGGTCAAAAGATCTCATGCAAGGTGTATTTTTCACATATTTTGCTGGTTTATTATTATTACTACCATCATCATCATCATCATCATTTTTGCTGCTGCTGCTGCTACTACTTTTGTTATTGAAGAACAGTATAGGATTGCAGTTGAGTCCCTGAACTTGGGAGCTGAAATCTGAATTCTTTACTAATTAAGTGACTCTGGGTACTCAGTTTTCTCACCTGTCAAATGGAGGTTATAGTAATTATATTGTAGAGTGATTCTGGCAGTGACATGAGTTAATACTCATAAAGTAATTAGAACAATGCCTGGTACATAGTATTAACTATATGAGGAATAATATTATTAGTAACATTTAGTTGGTTAAATGTCAGAAGGACTTTTGTTACGTGTGATCTCATTTATAAAATATTGCCTTGTAATATACTGCATGGACAGCAAGCATCTGTTGAAGAAATGGGGGTTTTATCTTTTTTGCTTAAATTGAAATTAAGGCTGTAATTTTAAAATGTTTTATTTTGAAATTAGAATTACAGAATGGTTGCAAAAATAGTACAGAGTTAACATATATCCTTCACTTAGCTTCCCCTAACAATTTACATGTTAATATAAATACCAAATCCAGGAAATTAACACCAGTTTCCCCCTCAACGTCCTTTTCCTGTTCTAGAGGATCGAATCTAGGATCCCACATGTATTTTTTAAAATATGGCCTTTTTAATTTTTTCTTTTATTTTTAGTTGACACATAGTAGTTGTATATATTTATGGGATATAGAGTGATATTTCAATACACGTATACAAATGTGTTAAAGTTCAAATTAGGGTAATTTTAGCATATCTACCTCAAACGTTTATCATTTCTTTGTATTGGGAACATTCAAACTCCTTTCTTCTAGGTTGTCAGAATATACAGTAAATTACTGTTAACTATATTCACCGTTAAAGACTTAAATATAAGACCACAGACTATAATAACACTAGAAGAAAATGGGGGAAATGCTTCAGGACATTGATCTGGGCAACAGTTTTATGGGTGAGGCTTCAAAAGCACAGGCAACAAAAACAAAAATAGACAATTGAGACTGTATCAAACTAAAAAGCACAGCAAAGGAAACAGTCAAAGAGAAGAGACAACTTGTAGAATGGGAGAAAATATTTGAGAGCTGTTCATACAAGGGATTAACATGAAGAATATACAAGGAACTAAAACAACTCAACAACAAAAGCCCTAAATAATTTCATTTAAAAATGAACAAAGGGCATGGATAGACATTTCTCAAAAGAAGACATACAGATGGCCAACAAGTATATGAAGAAATGTTCAACATCACTAATCATCAGGGAAATGCAGATCAAAATCACAATGAGACAGCATCTCACCCCAGTGAGAATGACAGTTATCAAAAAGACAGTTATGAATGCTGGCAAGATTGCAGAGAAAAGGGAACTCTTATATACTGTCAGTAGGAATGTAAAGTAGTACAACCATTATGGAAAACAGTATGGAGGTTTCTCAAAAAACTAAAAATAGAACTACTGTATGATCCAGTAATCCCACTACTGGGTATTTATCCACAGGAAAAGGAAATCAGTATGTATAGTTTTTGGTTTTTGTTTTTAATTAAGAGATGGGGTCTTACTATGTTGCCTAGGCTAGATTCAAATTTCTATATTCAAGTGATCCTCCCCTCTCAGCCTCCCAAGTAGCTGGGACTATAGGTGTGTGCTACTGTGCCTGGCTAAAATCAGTATATTGAAGCAATATCCGCGCCCCCATGTTTATTGCACCACTATTCACAATAGCCAAAATGTAGAATCAACCTAAATGCCCATCAGCAGATGAATGGATAAAGAAAATGTGGTATATAAATACATGGAACACTATTCAGCCATAAAAATAGACTTTATTTTTAGGTTCACAGCAAAATTGAGTGGAAAGTACAGAGTTCCCATATACATCCGCCAACCCTTATGCACAGCTTCCTGCACTATCAACATGCTGCACCAGAATGGTACATTTGTTACATTCAGTGAACCTACATTGACACGTCATTATAACCCAAAGTCCATCATTACATTTGAGTTCTCACTTGGTGTAGTATATTCTGTGGTTTTGACATGTGTAATGACGTATATCTACCATTGTATAACAGTGTCATACAGAGTAGTTTCACTGCCCTAACAGTCCTCTGTGTTCCACCTGTTCATTCATCCCTCCCCCAACCCCTGGCCACTATTGATCTTTTTAGTGTCTCCATAGTTTCGCCTTTTCCAGAATGTCATATAGTTAGTTGTATGTAGCCTTTTCAGATTGGCTTCTTTCACTTAGTAATATTCATTTAAGTTTCCTCCATGGCTTTTCATGGCTTGATAGCCAATTTCTTTTTAGCACTGAGTAATATTCCATTTTCTGGATGTACCACAATTTATTTATCCATTGACTCACTGAAGGACATCTTGGTTGCTTCCAAGTTTTGACAGTTATGAATAAAGCTGCTGTGAACATCCATGTACAGGTTTTTTGTAGACATAAGTTTTCAACTCCTTTGGGTAAATACCAGGGAATGTGATTGCTGGATCCTACGGTAAGAGTATATTTAGTTTTGTATTAAACTGCCAAACTCTCTTCCAAAGCGGTTGTACCATTTTGCATTCCCACAAGCGTTGAATGAGAGTTCCTGTTTCTCCATATCCTTTCCAGCATTTGGTGTTGTCAATGTTTTGGATTTTCACCATTTTAATAGGTGTGTAGTGGCGTCTCGTTGTTCTTTTAATTTGTAATTCTTTAATGACACATGTTGTTGAACATCTTTTCATATGCTTATTTACCATCTGTATATCTTCTTTGGTGAAATGTCTATTCAGTTCTTTTGCCCATTTTTCAATCAGATTGTTTCTTATTGTTGAGTTTTAAGAGTCTCTGTATATTTTGAATAATGGTCCTTTATCAAATGTATCGTTTGCAAATATTTTTTCCCGGTCTGTGGCTTGTCTTCTCATTTTCTTGATCCACATTGCGTTTTTGTTGTGGTGTGTCCTTAGTCTCTTCTAGTCTGTGACAGTTTTTCAATCTTTCCTTTCTTGACCTTCACGCTTTTGAAGAATACTCATCAGTTATTTTATAGTTTGTCTCTCACTTTGAGTTTGTGTGACATTTTGTCATGATTGGACTGAGATTATGTGTTTTTGATTGAGAATACCACAGAAGGAATGATGTATCCTTCTCAGTGCATATCAGGGAATATATGATGTTGATGTATCTGATTACTGGTGATTTTAACCTTGATCACTTAATTGAGATGGTATCTACTGGGTCTCTGCACAGTAAAGTTCCCATTTTTCCCTTTGTAATTGATAACTCTCTTGGGGGAGAGATTTCCTAAAACTTACCCACTGACTTTAGCATCTATTGGTAGGGCTTGCCTACAGTAGTTATTATTGTGGTGTTTTAATGGTAATTTAGTATTTTCCTCATTCCATCTATATGTATTTATTAATTGGGATTTTTCTGTAAGAAAGGGATGCCCCTTCTCCCTCATTTATTTATGTATTCAGTCATTTATATCAGTATGGACTCATGGGTGTTTATTTTATTTTTTGAGTTATAATCCATTCTATCATTATGTATTTTGTTGCTCAAATTGTTACATAAAACTGTTATATTTTTGAACTGACAAGAGAATTTTATTTAAAAAGCTTATTCTTAGGTATTGGTTTTACTGAAAAATGAGGTGAGCCATTTTGGTTTGCATTGCAGCTAGTATGCTGATAATGCTTTGCTGCTGTCGTTGTTTCTGATGTTAATAGATTTTAGTTTCTTTACTTATATCTGTCTGGTTGTTCTATCTATAATCTTAACTCAGACTGCTTATGTTTTATCCTGGTGAGATGGAGGTGATGGCCTCTCTGCGCAGGGTGGAAATTACCTTTCTTATGTGCTTTTTAGATTTCATTATGTGATATAAATTATATTAATTGTATAATTATTCCTACAGGATTATGGGTACTTAAGAGTGTTTGTCATAAAGTGAAAAAATACTAAACAATGGAGTCTAAATATCAGTGGAGCTTCTTATTCACATTTTTAGAGGAAAATTAGACTTGTTAAAATACTTGTTGATTTCTAATTTAACAGGGTTTCTTTGTGCTTCTAATTCTAACAAAATGCACAGGTGTAGAGAAATTTTAATAATAATTATGATGACTTATATTAATAAATGTCTGACAGTGATAGTAATGTCCCCAAATTAGAATTTTTTCTGAATATTCTGAGCTGAGATTTTATTTTATTTCTATTTGTATTTTCTAGATAGGTTTTTAAATAGGTTTAAATTATCCTTTTATCCTTTGAAGAGAATTGAAAATCTTAAAGAATATTATTTATAAATCATTGGAATTATAATTACAGAAGATTTTCATACCAGTAATCCCACTACTAGGTATTTATCCACAGGAAAAGGAAATCAGTATGTATAGTTTTTGGTTTTTGTTTTTAATTAAGAGATGGGGTCTTACTATGTTGCCTAGGCTAGATTCAAATTTCTATATTCAAGTGATCCTCCCCTCTCAGCCTCCCAAGTAGCTGGGACTATAGGTGTGTGCTACTGTGCCTGGCTAAAATCAGTATATTGAAGCAATATCCGCGCCCCCATGTTTATTGCACCACTATTCACAATAGCCAAAATGTAGAATCAACCTAAATGCCCATCAGCAGATGAATGGATAAAGAAAATGTGGTATATAAATAC